AAAACTGTTCCCTAAAAAAAAAAAAAAAAAAAAAAGAGAATAAAGAAAGTCGTTTTCTCATATCCTGTCGTTTGTTAAGATGATCTCTGCTTTGGTTTTAAGACAACATCAACAGTTTTTAACCTATAAGGGGGCACCGCGATCGTTATTCAAGCAGTAAGTGCATACCAGGTTTCGCACACTCGTTCCTTTCTCTCTTTTTCTTTTTTTCTTTTTTCTGTTTTATTTTTTTGGGATTTACGAGGTTTCTAGCTGAGAACTGCATCGTGGAAATTGAGAATTGGGAATTCGTTAAAAACCGAATGTTGCAGTTGTTAGCTGTGATACTGTGAAATTTTGCCAATGTTTTTCCTAGTAAACTGCTAAAGGGTCATCTTGTTTGAATCCATAGAAACCCTTCTTTTTTTTTTTCATTTGGTTACTCGGTTCTTCCTGTTTTATACACAGCTTCCTGCTTTTGTGAAGCAAACCACGCGTTCGAGAAAATGTCTCAAAGAGACTATTATAACGAAAACTCTGGTCTTCATTGCTTTTTGTGTTGAGACTTGAGTGTTATGTGTTGCTTATTATATATATATATATATATCTATATATATCGATATATTTGTCTTTTGTTATGTTTTTTGGATCTTCGAGTTGATTTTTTTATTTTTAGCATTGTAAAGATGTGAAATTGTGACAAATAATATTTCAGCTGTCACCGATCCGTATTTTAATCAGACTGGTATGCACAGCCATTTAAGGCATTTGTAGCTGAGAATTCTCTGGTACTTGCAATCAAAATCATGTTGAAGTTATAGAGATCCGTCCAATCTTTTTTATTTTTATTTTTATTTTGAGGGAGAACCATTGAATTTTAATGTTACGGTATATAGAAAATTATGGAGCTGATATATTTTTTTTTATTACACATATTTGATTTATTTCAGATGGATGAATTATGGAAGAATAAAATCTATGCAATTCATACAATTGCCGCCGCTGGGTCGGTGACATTCGGGACTGCCGTAACTTACCCTCTTGATACTATCAAAGTTCTTGTTCAGGTTTGTTTTCCAACTTTGTTTTTTAGTCTTTCATGTTTGCTGGTGAATTTCCTTATTGATTTGCTTACAAAGAACACTATGGTTTTCTCATTTCTGCTTCAAATCTAACCTGTGAATTCAAAAACAGGTTGGTTCTGGTTCTAGCAAACAATTGACGGCCACTCAGGCTTTAGAAAGAGTCCGATATATATCAGGATATTCAGGTATTTCCAGTTAAACTCTTTTAATTCTTGTCTTTTCTGTTCTTTTTTTTTCTTCCCAATGTTCATTGACTCGACGAATTTTGTGAATTTCATGAGCTGCTTACCGGTATTTGAAACAAAAAAAAAAAAAAAAAAAAAAAAAAAAAAAAAAAAACTTTTTTTTTTAAAAAAAAAAAAAAAAAAAAAAAAAACCTTTGTTGCTTTTATCATGTGAAAAAGGTATACCTATTTAATGTTTTAGGCTTTGTTTGGTTTAACAATTCAAATGTTGATTTAGTTTGAGTTATGGTGATTTGAATTGTGGTGCGTTGAATTGTGAATCAAACCGGTGTTTAGATATGCAAATAAATTATAATTTGAATTGAGAATAAAATCCGAACTATGTTTGGATAAAGTGTTGAAAACTGTCATTAGAGTTTTGTAACAAATCTTATAAAATCTCATTATAAATGACAAAAAAATATGCAATATGGATGGGGATTTGTTCCTCTCTTCATTATGAACGCATTAAAAAAAATCATCTCAATCGGAATTAAAACGAATAAGTTATGATATTTTTAAGCTTGAAATTGAAGAGAGAGAAAAAGTAGAATAAGGTTTTTACTGTAGAAAACAATTAGGATTGTTAGAATTTAGGGGGTGGTGAATTCTAAAATCTAAAGGTTTGAACCATTGTTAATGGTTTGAATAATCCTTGAATTGTCCTCTACCAAACATCAATTTGAATCTTGAACTACGGTTTGAATCCTAAACAACAATTTGGATGGTTGAAACAAACAGGGGCTTAATTTCTGCAAGAAGTGTACTATGATTTAAGATTTATGAGTGAATTCAAATACCTAGTCTTTTCTTTAATCAGTAATTGTCTTTCTCGCCGTGATATTCTATTACTCAAATACACACACAAACTTCTACTTGTTTGTGTGTGTTTGTTTTTCTTGTTCTTCCTTTTACTTTGTTTTAAATAAATGTTTGGACTTGACATTTTTTCTCAATGATGAATGTTTGTAGGTTTGTTCAGTGGTTTTGGTTGGTTTGCATTTGGAAGAATTTTAGGCGTGGGAGCTCGCTTTGGAACCTATGAAATCGTGACGGCCTTTTATAAAGGTTTTTCTTCTTTTCTGTTACTTCTTAAAGCAATTTTTCGTCAACTCATAATTGGCCGTTTACTTACTGCTGATCTACTTACAATGTCACATGCGCGGGATCTGTCTTTGTATTTAGAACTTGAGAATAGGTCAAAACTCTGTTTTTTCAAGATCATGGTATCTAGGACGTTGGCACCAGAACAGTCCAGAAAAATCTGTACCCTAATCCCCTTTTTGTTTTATAGGAATTTGTCCAAATGGTTTTGACTTTTGTTGAAAGAATTGGAGTTTTCTTCATTTTTCCACAACTAAATAAATTTTGGAACTCTAATACAAACTTGGAGCTCTTGTGAATCAAAAGAAAATATAATTGATTGAGAAAAGTGAGCAATAAAAGGGGGAAAAAACAGTTTTTATGCAAACATATAGTTTTACAAAAATGGTGATATAAACTGACAATTATTAATTTTGTATGTGATAGATAGATGCTTATTTATGACTTTTCACTCATTTTCTTTTTCAAATATTTATTTGCCAGATGGTCGGCAACACAATTATGTATATTCATCGGAGGCTCTTATGGCAGGAATGGTAGCTGGAGCGGCAGAATCACTAATAAGCTCCCCTTTTGAACTTATAAAACTCCGTGCACAGGTGACGTCTGCTTCTCGTGTTCCAAGCCATTTCTCCATGACAAAAAAGCGAGTTGTTGCGCCAGTTATTGAAAAGTTGCTGTGTGGATATGGTCCAGACAAGAATGCATTAAATTATGCTGTTGGCCTTTTATCAACACTAACTAACAAACATCCAAACATGACGGGTGCTTTGCAAGGGTATCCATGGATGATGACGGGGTCTGGGAGTCCACCTTCGGTCTGTGACGTTAGGAGGCCATCCAAGATTCTCTCTTTGGAAGGATGGAGTGCAATGTGGAGAGGTTTAAGGCCAGGACTTGTACGGGATTCTGTTTATGGTGGTATCTTCTTTTCCACTTGGCAATTCCTACACCAAGCAATGCTGGACTGGAAGGCAGTTGGGATGGATCCAATACCCAGGTTCTGAATATTGATTTCTTATTGTTGTTTGAAAACTGATTTTGGCTATGTAGAATTATGCTCTAGTTTCTGGTATTGTTCAAGAAAGCGGTCTTCGTTGTTTCCTATTTCAATTAATTGGACTCCCTATCTGTTTAAAAGCCTTAAGCTTGCTTTCCACTGTATCCTATATATGTGGATTATTAAATTACATTGTCTTTTTTCAGATTTAAAAAAAAAATTTACTTTTGTCTTTTTTTCCCCCCCCCCTTTTTTTTTTCCCCTTTTCCTTTCTGGTTTCTCATGCATATTTATCTAGTGCTTTATCTTAGTCCTCATTGGCTGCGCCTGTAGAATAACTTCTTTCAGTTCAAGTGTCATGTTTTTCTATTGAAGTGGGTTTGTCGCTCGCAGTGTGAACGAGGATGTGGATCCCCTATCTCCTTTAGCTGTCAGCCTTTCAGCAGGATTTTCTGGTTCAGTAGCCGGCGCTGTTTCTCATTTTTTTGACACTGCAAAGTGTCGTTCATTATGTACTGTGCTGCCCAAGGTGCCTCTTGTATTCCTTTCGTTAATTCATCTTCTTAAAGAGAATTCAACTTTACCTTTAGCTCTGTATGAATAGCTGACAACCAATTTTTCGTGCTTCGTAATAGAACTCCCTAACATTTGCATCAAATTGAAATCATTAGCTATTTATCAATGTTATCATGTGTATTATGACAAGATTGTCATGCTTACTTTGTTTACTCTGTCAAGCCTTCTGGTTTGAACTACAGAGAACTTGTAGGAAAGTTTTATCTTGTGTTATCATGTGATTAGTGTAATACTGACTATGTTATTGGGGTCTTTATGTTTTTTCTAGTTTGTCTCCTTGGAGAGGAAGCTTCTCAAATGGAAACGACCAGGGAGTAGGTTTGAGAGATTTACCGGGATTCATCCCGCTGACAGGAACGTCCTGTTCAACGGCATTTGGTTGCGGATGGCTCGTTGTGGGGTTGCATCGTTTTTTATGGTGGGATATTATTTCTTGGCTGTTGATCAGCTCGTTTCAAGAGGAAGTAGATTGACATAGAGTGCTTTCTCCAAGAGAGTTCGAGAGAGTCTTTTGATATTTGAATTAGGACTGTTTTTTCACTACATTACATCTTTTGACAAACTAAAAATTCATATCCGGAAGAACAAAAGCATTCATATGTCTCTACGTGTAAGGATGGGTATGCTCATGAATAAAGCATTCATTGATTTTTGTATTAAAAATTGATGCTCAATTTGAGAGGGTCTTGTTTCCCAACATTAACATTTAACGGTTAAAAAACAGTTCGATCTTGTATATGTTGATTATTTAACCAATGCCCCAAGATATTGGTTTTTTCCCCCGCAAAAGAAGATGCATGTATAAAAACATGTACACCATACAAAAATCTAATTGAAAGGGGATTGTGTTATGTTCTTCGAGAATTGTTAAGGTACTTTTTTCCAACTATTAAAGAAAATTATGTTGTGCCAAGATCCATGTGCATTAAAAATAAATTGTTTTAGGATATGAAATAAAAATCACATAAGTTTTTAGCCGTTAAATTACTCTAATTTATACCCGACAAAAGAAATTAGAATAATTTCATAGAATTTAATATGTTTTGATGGTTAAAAACTGACATCATGTGTTCTTTTCCATACGTTAAGATTCTGCTTTTTGAACAAAATATAATGTAGTAGGAGAAATGTTTTTCTTTTTCCACTAGGTTTATATTTCTAGAATGTGTCGTTGTTTTGCCTTTTTTTGATTTTCTAAAATTAATTTTTTGAATGGATTTTCTACAATTACATATATGTACACCTTTATTTAATTTGAAAAACGAAAGGTACATTCTATGTGTCAAAAACAAGAAATGCAGTTGTTATTTTTTTAAAGATATATAAAATGCCATTTTAATATTATTCAAACAATGATGAATGAACCATATTTATAAGGGAATAATAATCGGAAAAAACTATCATAAAAATTCTATGATAATTTTCATATAATTGCACAATCGCAAAAAGACAAAAATGAAGATACGACGTCGTTCCGGATACATTATCTCCCTTCATTTTCATGGTCGAAACTCGAGAGCCATTTGCGCCTTCCTTCTTCGATTCTCGGCGCAAACTAGGGCTTTAGCCTTTGAAGAACTATTATTTTCAGAGAGGTTGGGGAAGACGAAGAAGCCATGGATGAAAGTTCGTAATTCCAAAACCTAATTTTGGAGGAACAAATTCAATGATATCGGACAACAATGGTAGCGTTATATCAAACCCATCTCCTGCCAACTCTGGCCAAAGCCTCACCTCTCTTATCGCTCTTCGTCAAAATCCCCCTGCCATTGATCTACCGCCGATGTCGCATCCGCCATTTCTGTCCCGTTCTCTGCTACCACACTTCCTCGTTCGACATTTCCCCCCGTCGCAGCTCGACGGAGAAAGCCAGCAGCTTCTGCACTCTGGCCTCGCCTCGCGAAGCGCCGCCGTCGCCGTTTTCGGACACTCCTCTTACGGCGAAAATGAAGAGGAAGGCCTGGAGAGAATCTCCGGAGGGAGTGCTCCGGCACAAGCTCGACATGTGCTCGAAGCACGGCGATGTCTCCGAAGCGCTTCGGCTCTACGACGAGGCTCGCAGCATTGGAGTCCCTCTTAGCCAGCACCACTACAACGTCCTGCTCTATCTTTGTTCTTCAGGGGAGTCCAATGGCGGAGACGAGGATGGTTTGAGTTTAGGCCTAAAGAGAGGTTTTGAGATATTTCATCAAATGGTGATGGACAAGGTCGAGCCAAACGAGGCCACGTTCACGAGCGCCGCGAGGCTGGCCGCGAAGGTGGAAGACCCCGAGAAGGCCTTCGAATTGGTGAAGCGGATGAAGAGCTTTGGAATTCCTCCGAAATTGAGGTCCTATGCGCCGGCATTGTTTGGTTTCTGTAAGAAAGGGGAGGCCGAGAGAGCGTACGAAGTTGACGGTCATATGATTGAATCCAGTGTTGAGGCGGAAGAGCCCGAGCTCTCCGCATTGCTGAAGCTCAGCGCGGAGGCGAAGAAGGGAGACAAGGTTTACGAGATGCTGCACAGGTTGCGAGCCTCGGTGAGGCAGGTCTCGGAGTCGACTGTGGGGATTGTCGAGGAGTGGTTCGGGTCCGAAGAGGCGGTGAGAGAGGGGAAGGAGTGTTGGAATGTGAAGAAAGTGAGGGAAGGAGTTGTGAGTGGTGGTGGAGGGTGGCATGGGCAAGGGTGGCTGGGGACTGGGAAGTGGAGGGTGGTAAGGACTCAGATGGATGAAAACGGGGTTTGTCAATCTTGCAATGAGAAGCTCGTGTGCATCGATATCGATCCGAAAGAGACGGAAAATTTTGCAAGCTCATTGGCTAGCTTGGCTTCCAAAAGAGAAGTTAGAGCTGATTTTGTTCGATTCCAGGTTTGAATCCTGTCTCTTGTTGTTTGTTGTCTTCCCACTTTTTGAGATTTTGTTCACGATGCACGTGAAATTTGGAGACTTTTAATGCAAGCTTTGTTTTTGATGGATGGCAGTGATTAACTTATTGTGCTTGGGTTGCTATGAATTTATAGCAAAATCCTTCTCTGTATTCTAGCGAAACGCTGAATTTGCGGTCTCAGAAATGTATGTAGTTTTGTCGTGTGGATTTGATGCCAAATTGACTTGTGTTTTTCTTGATAAATGACCAAATCAGTGCATAGAAAGTAAGTAAATTTGCGAGAAAATTCATGCATAAAAAGTAGTAGCTGTATATATTTTTCTCCTTGTCAAGTTCTTGCTAATGTAATTATTTGAGTGTTCACAATGTTCTCGTTGGATCAGTCTCTTGCCAATACTTCCTACTTCTTTATGCTTCAGGCAAGTGATACATAATGTTTTTCAGCGATATGATGATTGACTTGAAGCTGTTGAACTCATTCAGGAGTGGCTCCAGTGCCATGGTCCGTTTGATGCAGTCATAGATGGTGCCAACGTGGGTCTGGTAAATCAACATCATTTCAACTTCTTCCAGGTAAGAGGGTAACTTTGGCGAGTTTTAATAATTTTCCCTTATTTTTCTGGCCATTTAATAGTGCTTTGTTATTTTTTTGTAGCTTAAATCTGTTTTGAATCAACTGCGTGAAATGAGTCCATCAAAGAGATTGCCACTTGTTATATTGCACAAAAATCGTGTAACTGGTGGTCCTGCCCAGAATCCGAAGAACAAGCAATTGTTAGAGACTTGGAAAAAGGCTGGTGCATTGTATGCTACGCCTGGAGGTTCAAATGATGATTGGTAAGTTTGCATTCATTGACATGCAATGTAACGCATTCGAGTACCTTATCGTATATCTTCTTTCTTTTTTTTTTTTTGCTTGCTGCTTATCCTTTCTTTTCTTTTCCCTTCCCTTTATCTCCCTTTAATTAATGTGCGGCGGGAACGGTAAATTCTTTTTAGTTTTAATTTAAACAATTAGAAGTGTCCTTTCATCATGTGTTGGTTTCTAATTTGTGTCATAACTTTGCTCCTATGTCACTCACAGGTACTGGTTATATGCTGCTGTTAGTTGTAATTGTCTACTAGTTACAAATGATGAAATGAGGGACCACTTATTCCAATTGTTAGGTACTAGCTTTTTCCCAAGATGGAAGGAAAAACATCAGGTATTATCCTTTTCAACTAGATTTGATGGAAATTTTCCCCATGAAACATTTGACTAAGGATTGATGTTCCATTTATAAGATGCACAGGAGTCGTATATGGCTTGTTATTAGGCTACATATTAAGTAATATCAATATGTCTTTAATAACAATGGCGATTAGTTCCCTTTATAAATTACTAGTACCCGTTGAACGTGAGCTGCATCATGTTAGGGCCTCCCTTTCTTATCTCTGGAATTAAAAAGTTTTCTACTCTTAGAACTTGCCTGTACCACTAATGATGCAAGAAAAAGGGGTGAATAATGACGAGGTTTTACTGATGATTGGAAAGAAGCATACAAAATTGCCACACTTATGACTCGTGTATTTGGCCACCATTTGCAGGTTCGGCTATCGGTCTCAACGAAGGGGCCTAGCCTTCACATGCCACCTCCTTATTCAATTGTAATTCAGGTTAGATTTCAATCAGCTGCTATCTAGTTATTTTGTTCTGTCCGTGTATTGTCTAGAGTACACATGCCCTTTCTGCTTTGTAGACGGGTTTCAAAACAGTGAATGATGATCCATGAATTTGGTTGATGCAAGTGCAGGAATCCGAGGATGGTCGCTGGCACGTACCAATGGTCACAGGTGATGATCTTGAGGCCCCAAGGCAATGGTTGTGTGCCACCAGAGACAGGAATAGGAAATAGAGAGATTATTATAATTCTTTGTGCTTTAAATTATTCTCATTTTTTCCTTTGTTTTTTGGGGCATTATAAGGACGCTTGGCCTTATGGGGCATTGTTGTAATAACCGATTGATTATTGTGCCGAATGAAAGATAAGGATATAATAATGCGTCAACAAAAATGTTTGTTTGAAGACAATTTGGGTAACAAATTTCACAGGGAAACAAATATTGGTTATCAAGACATTGACTTGATCTGGCAATGGCAATGAGCAGAGTGCAACATAAACAAAGCTAAAATTGATCATTCACTAATAATTTTCTTTTCCTCCAAAAGATTTGGTTCTGATTTTGCCGATAAAACTTGGCTGGCACAGGGTTCTTGGTATGCGTCCAAGGTCCCTAAAGAGTCTCTCCATTCACCATTTTTTTTTTTTTATGCTTTGATTGATAAGTAAAATTTCTTGGAGTTAATTGCATTGTTGCATCTTCAATTTCGTGGTTGGCAACTTGAATCCTCAAGTTTCAATTTTGGTAAATAATACTTCTAAATTTTAAAATTTATTGCAATTGTAGTTCAATAACTAATGAATGTCAATTAGTAGATAGAAATTGTCCAATGCACCCTAAACTTTTAGTTAATTGATAAGTTGGTCTTTGAACATTTTTTGAACTCTGATTCGTCTATTAACTAATGTCATTTATTGATTGGACTGCATTGTCAAGAACCCTAAAATTTAGGGTTTTAAATCTCAAAATTATAAGTTTAAGTGTAACATGCAAATGGCGATAATTTAGGATGCATAAATGCAATTTACACAGTTTTTATATAAATGTTACGTCACGCACCATTAAAAAAATATATGTCTTTAATTTTTGTTAAATCCATTTAAATAGATTCCATATATCACATATGATTTGTTATATGATCTTGGAATTCCTTACTCACATGGTACAACCCCCATGTAAATCCCTGAATGTCATTTCAAATTGGTTGGGATCATAAATTATGTCTCGCACAAACACTGAATATCATTCCTTTAATACTAAATTAGTTAGAATCATATAATTATGTATCACACAATACAATTCTATAATTATACCGTAGGTATCGTGTCGGGAAAATCTACCATTTCTTAATTCATCATAATTGATGACAAACATGACATGTTCTTAACTACCAACTCGGCAATGAATGTTATGTGTGAAATCCAAGGATTTAAAATAAAATAATAATAAAGTCACAGGATGATAATATTGGTACTTAACCAAAAATACCAATGACCATAAAAATTGACTTAAATTTACGAAACGCACCAAATTTTATCTTGGCATGCAGAATTTTTAAAATATAAGTATGCATGGTAAGAATTTATCACGGTAGACGAACATATATTACGAATTAAGTAAAATAATTGGAAAACAAGAACGATTCTATCTTGTCTTCTATATATTACGTGAAAGGATCAAAATTGTAGGGAAATATATATGAATTTGAAAAGTATTCAAATATAAATATTTTTAAAAAATAATTAAAATAAATATTAAATAACTTATTATTTTGATATTTTCATGAAATATCTAAGAAATTTTGTCATATTGCACTCGATGCAATGTTTCTTTGAAAAATAGACATTTATGGAATTTTCTCTAACATTTTGCGGAAAAAAAAATATTATGCCACTCTTTTGATATTGACGGTTCTAAAATACAAAGCATTTCTCTAAATAAGATTTGAAAATCTTTACGATAGAAGGAGTTATTTTGTTATAGGGTAGAAATTATTGTTTTTAACTCTTAAATTAATCTTTTAAGTGTAGAAATTATTTTGTTACATGGTAAAAATTATTGTTTTTAACTCTTAAATTAGTCTTTAACGGTAGAAATGTGCATAATTATATTAAAAATTTATAACATGTTAAATAACAAAATTACTCTTATTGAACATTAATTTGTTAAAAAGATTTTTTTATTAAAAAAACTAATTCAAGACTACAATTAATTCTGGTACGTGAAGAAAAAAATCTCCGTGGTGAATGCACCACCTATAAGATTTGAGGAAAAAGTACAAATTTTATAAAAAAAAAAAAAAAAAATGATAAAAAAATAAAGAGATTCTCGTCAGCATCACAACGCGGAACTGACTTGTGGATAGCTCGTAAAATGGAAGAAAACAAGGTCTACGTTGACAAACAAAGCAAACGCAAAGTAATAACAGTGGTCCAACCCAACCAATGACCGCCACGTCTTTGACGAAGTGATGCATTGATTGACCGGCAAGTGGTCCCCACTCTCCATATCAAAAGTCCACAAAGTGGGACCCATGCACATATTTTCAAAACACCAACACCCAATCTCAGCCATTGCTGCATTATTGCTTCTTCTTCTTCCCTCTTCTTTTTTTTTTTTTTCCCGACAAACAAAAAAGTGGAATGAATTTTCCACAAGAAATAAGAAAAGCCAAAAAGATCAGGAATTCTTAACAAAAAGAAAAGAAAAAAACCAGAACCAAAAGAAGAGAGAGAAAGGGTAAGAGAAAGAGGTGAGAGAAAGCTTGAGCTTGAGCTTGGGCTTGGAGTTTTGGAAGAAAGATGAAATGCCATCGTACGTTTGGTAAAACCTTGACTTCGTTCGACGTCTTCTTCTTCATCTTCAGTTTTTTTTGCGTTTCGGTTTCCGGCGAATTGTCGGAGAAATTAGCTTTGCTGGAGCTCAAATCATCGTTTGCGGATCCTAGCTGGCTACTCTCGAGCTGGAGGAACTCTTCGGATCGCCACCACTGTTCATGGTTCGGCGTCTCATGCGACTCCAATTCCAGAGTTATCTCTCTGAGAATCTCGGCCTCTGATGGTGAAAAGCCAGGTAATTTCCGACCTCTTTCTTGTTCGCAGTCTTCTTCGCGCTTTCGGTTTCCGTTTTACGGGTTTGGAATTAGGAGGAGGAGAAGTGCGAATAGGGAGGGGAGATTGAGTTTGAGAGGGGGAATTTCGCCGTCGATCGGGAAACTGACTGAGCTTAGGGCTTTGTCTCTTGCTTATCATGACCTGAGTGGTGAGATTCCTCGGGAAATTTGGGGTCTTGAGAAGCTGAGAGTGCTTGATCTCGAGGGAAATTCGCTCACCGGGAAGTTGCCGAGTCAGTTTAGTGGTTTGAAATGGTTGAGGGTTTTGAATCTCGGGTTAAATAGGATTGATGGGGAGATTCCCGTTTCGCTGTCAGAATGTGGAGATTTAGAGGTCTTGAATTTGGCTGGGAATTCACTGAATGGCACAATTCCTGAGTTTCTCGGTGGTTTTTCCAGGTTGAAGGGTCTCTATTTGTCTCGGAATAGGCTAACTGGATCGGTTCCGGAAGAATTTGGAAGTGGCTGTGAGAATCTTGAACATCTCGATCTGTCGGGGAATTTTCTAGTAGGTAGAATTCCAGGTAGTTTGGGTAAGTGTAGACGGCTTCGGACACTTTTGTTGTTTTCAAACATGCTAAACGGTAACATCCCTCGTGAGCTTGGTGGACTTCAGATGCTTGAAGTTCTAGATGTCTCTAGAAATAGCCTTGGTGGTCGAATCCCCGCTGAGCTTGGGCAGTGTGTTAACCTGTCAGTGTTTGTGCTCTCCAATGGAGGTTCTTTGATCGAATTATCTCGCAGTGCAGAGAATTATCACAATCATTTTGAAGGCCCTATTCCAGAGGAGATCACGACTCTTCCGAAGCTGAGAATAGTTTGGGCGCCTAAAGCGAGTCTGGAGGGAAAGCTTCCTAGCAACTGGGGTGGTTGTGAGAACTTGGAAATGGTGAACTTGGGTCAGAACCTTTTCAAAGGAGAAGTGTTTGGAGTCTTTGAGAGATGCAAGAAACTGCATTATCTCGATTTGAGCTCAAATCAGCTGACTGGGGAGCTTAGTGAGAAGCTTCCGGTTCCTTGCATGAGTGTATTTAATGTAAGTGGAAATCTCTTGTCAGGACTCATCCCAAGATTTAAGAGCAGGATGTGTGCTAATGTGCCCATGAATTCAGATCTCACTAAATTCGACGACCCATCATTTCCGTATAAGTTGTTCTTTACTTGTCAATCTCGTCGTGTGGAAACCAGTTTGCCATTTTCCGGCCCTGGTTTCATTGTGATCCACAATTTAAGCGGTAACAACTTCTCAGGTCCAATCCAAAGCCTTCCAGCTCCACTATTGAGCAACCGAATGATTTACGCTTTTCTTGCTGGTGGAAACAAGCTCGCTGGATCATTTCCTGAAAGATTATTTGGAAAATGTAATGGGTTAAATGGATTGGTTCTAAATTTCAGTAACAACAGATTCTCTGGTCATATTCCTATGCAGATTAGCGTCATATGCAGATCTCTTTTATCCTTGGATGTGTCTGGCAATGAAATATCGGGGTCAATGCCCCAAAGTCTTGGCGATTTGACATCTCTAGTCCTTCTGGACTTAAGTCGGAACAAGTTGCATGGTAAAATTCCACCGGACATGAGTCGTTTGAGGCACCTAAAGTATCTTTCCCTGGCTCATAACAGCCTGACTGGTCCAATACCTTATAGTTTTGGATGGTTTCAATCCCTCGAAGTGTTGGATCTGTCCTCAAACTCTCTCTCTGGGGAAATTCCTGAAGGTCTTGTGAACTCAAGAAATTTAACTGTTCTGCTTAACAACAACAGTCTTCACGGGAAAATTCTTTCAGGATTGACCAATTTGAGATCACTATCGACATCTAAGTTCTCTCGGGTCCTGTTGAACAACAATGTGATGAACTGTAGCAGTGTCCAAGGGAAGCCTTCCCAGTCTCCATGTGGTCTAACCTCCCTAGCAGTGAGATCTTTGAGTCAGCAAGATACAAATTGGAGCTCGCAAACTTCTCAATCAGAAATTGCTAGTAGTTCTGGAAACAGTGGATTAAACTCGATTGAAATTGCGTCCATAGCATCTGCATCAGCCATAGTGCTAGTTCTTCTAGCTCTTATTGTCCTCTTCTTTTATACAAGGAAGTGGATACCAGATTCCAGGGTACAGGGTCTGGAACCAAGGGAAATTACAGTTTTCAGCAACATTGGGGCTCCATTGACTTTTGAGAGTATTGTTCGAGCAACCGGGAATTTCAACGCCAGCAACTGCATCGGAAATGGAGGATTTGGGGCCACTTACAAGGCAGACATCCATCCAGGAATCATAGTAGCTGTAAAGAGGCTTGCTGTTGGAAGGTTCCATGGAATTCAACAATTCCATGCGGAGGTCAAGACTCTTGGGCGGGTGAGACACCCCAACCTTGTAACTTTGATAGGTTACCATGCCAGTGAAACCGAAATGTTCCTCATATACAATTATCTACCCGGAGGTAATTTGGAAAATTTCATCAAGGAAAGCTCGACAAGAGCCAATGATTGGAAGATTCTTCACAAGATTGCTCTGGATATAGCTCATGCCCTCGCTTATCTGCATGACCAATGTGTTCCACGAGTCCTACACCGTGATGTCAAGCCAAGTAACATATTGTTGGACAGCAACCTTAATGCTTATTTGTCAGACTTTGGACTGTCTAGGCTTCTGGGGACTTCTGAAACTCATGCCACAACTGGTGTTGCTGGAACTTTCGGGTACTTGGCTCCAGAATACGCTATGACCTGTCGGGTGTCGGACAAGTCCGACGTCTATAGCTATGGTGTTGTGCTCCTTGAACTGATCTCGGATAAGAAACCGTTGGACCCGTCATTTTCTTCACATGGAGATGGTTTCAACATCGTTTCTTGGGCAAGCATGTTGCTGAAACAGGGTCGTGCTAAGGAGGTCTTCACTGCTGGGTTGTGGGATGTGGGTCCGCATGATGATCTGGTGGAGATGCTGCACTTGGCTGTTACTTGTACAAATGAGACTCTCTCCATCAGGCCCACAATGAAGCACGTTGTCCAGAGACTGAAAAAAATTCAGCCTCTAATTATTAGGTAGTTAATGAACATTGCACTTGTACTCCTGAGGGATAGAAAGTACAGAAAGGGAAGAGTTTTTTTGTCTTCTTTTATCCTTGTAAGCCCCTTTCCTGCCAGAAGTAGAATATATTACCCTTGCAATTTGTATATTCTCTCCGTCGTATTTTGTAATCTTGTAATAACTTTATTATGTGCGTGTGTTTGGAAACTTTCTGAAACTTGGACTAATAATATATTATATCCCAATTCATTTTTCGATTGGAATATAATTCCAAACAGAAGAAGGGCAGTGCTTGGTTATCCGGTTCTATCACATCTTGAGTGTGAGTTTTGGGACCACTTACCATGCAAATTATTTGGAGGATTATTTCCCGGTAAATGGGAAGTAATAGTATAATGGCGACAAACATACCCATCAAGCTGAACTGATAGCTTTGAGTTAGAAAATAAGAAACGTCATCCATATTTTTTCTTCTTTAAAAAAATGTAAAATGGCACTATGGAATTACTGATGCACCATTTTCAGACTCAGTTGCTGTAGGAAATTGCCAGATTGTGAGGAAAGCAGGCGAGAGAGAGAACAAAGCAACATCAGTATGGAAGGGCCTCTAGAAGAGATGCATTTCGAACTCTCTTTAGAAATTTGAATAGTTAACTACTACATACAACTTGCATCTCAAGGACTTCCCAAAATAGAAAGGAAAAAGAAAGAGGAAGGAAAGGAAACGGGAAAAAAAAAAAAAAAAATCTACAACTTGCTCTCAAGGACTTCCCAAAATAGAAAGGAAAAAAAAAAAGGAAGGAAAGGAAACGGGAAAAAAAAAAAAAAAAATCTCCTTTTTCTGTTACCTATTTCACAATGCCCCAATCTTGAAGGGGTGATATACAGTTATGACAAAAGGGCAGTAGATGAAGGGTTTATAACTATATGTCTAAGTGGGTGATCCACATCACCCCCACCTGCATGCTTGACAAACTCTGCAGGGGAGAGAAACTTGCCATGGCACACACACATTATCCTCACTTCTTCTCCTTTCCCATATCTATACAGTATTCCATCTACTCTCCTGCCGTTGGGACCATTTCCTTTTGTGAAAACACAAGGCATGTCTTCCATGGCATTCATCCCAATTTCACTCCCCTTGTTTCCTCCAGAATTAGGCTTCTTAGATGGATTCTCCATCTTGTTTCCAGAGGTTGAGCATTTGTTTTCGGCGGTACTCTTTGTCCCTGAAGGACCCATGATCTCCTGGCTCCGTTCTTGCATCGATTGATGACCGGCAGGGCTTCTTGCTTCACCGTAAGTGCTAGATCCTGTGATTAAGGGGAAGAGTGTAAGAAATTGTACAAGTTCATTGATTACAAACTCACAATACGTTAGATTAGATATCTAAATGCAGTTTACCATGTGCATATCTTTTCAATGAATTGAAGATTTTAGGATCACAAGAAAATTACCAAAGGTTTAGAATTAGTTACAACCAAAAGAGACAGAATACTCCTAGTTTTCCTATGCCATAAAGTAACTAATTAATCAGGTTTTGTTCATTGTCTCCTATTCATGCACCATGGTGCATTCCTTAAGTTCAGCCTAAGCCATCGGTCAAAAGCACATACAATGAACCCAGCCACTTGCTTCCTATTAGCTGAAGTAGGCGGGAGAAAAGAAACAAAAACAAAAAACAAAAAACAAAAACTGCCTATTTTGAATATATTATAAACATAAATCTGATGTACACAATAACTAATGTAGTGCTGTACGCGCATATGCATACCAACTCCAACTAGTAATTTGTTTGTGATCACCAGGTCACTACTTTCCCAGCAATACCACAGTATATATTCATTTCAATGGCCGGGATTCAAGTTATACAAGAAAATTCTTTCAGACTTCTTATTTCTGCTTTGTCTACAAGAAGCTAAAGTTAAAAACTAAAGTTGCCATCAGAGTGACTAGTAACTCGCTACAGGAAATGGCAATACCATGCCTGCAAAAAATGATAACAGCAAAGAAAAAGGGAATTACAAAACCATGGAAATTGGTGTAATTATGATCCAGCATCATCGTACCTTTACTGTACGAGCAGATGGGCTGAACATGGAATGACAAGAACCAAAAGGAAATAACATTGCATGCACTTGAAATACAGTTTCGACTCGTACATGTGCTTACGAACAAGACACGCCTAAAAATCTGGTTAACCCTTTTGTTAAATATGCATGACTGACTGTCATTCGCATCCTATGACTACAAGGCACAAGCATTCACATGGACATAGTACCCATCGACTCTTCGGACAGTTTCTGTATCACAAATCTCTTAAGAAAAACTTTATTTCAATAGATAGGTGCCAATGCCAATCCAAGTGAGTACCGCCTTATACATTGCCATAAGGTCATGATTTAGTGTGGAAGCAGAAGATGCAAAAGTTACACTGTGGCTCATCAAGGCGTACGCACTCAATCACAATCTCCAGAATCTCCAACAATACTATAAGAACTCATTTTTTAACGTTTTTAACAAAAAGTTTCATTGCAAGAATACTAGGCAATTCTTTCAGTGGAAAACACAGTTTCTATGGATTCTTTGCGATTCCAGTTCAATCCTCGACCAATTGCATAAAAAGCCACTAAAGTGAACCCAACCAACAGTGTTTAGATTAGAAAAGTAAATTCATCATCTAAAGAATAAAGCTAAAATTTAGCATAAAATTTAGCAGAACAAGACAAATTAACTCCAATTCAAGCACCTGATTTAACTGCCTAATTCACCTAAAAACAACAGGAAAATATCATCATAGTTATTATGACAATATAAGAGGCCATATATATATAAATATATATATATATATGTACTTCAAACGAAACCAAATTTTACCTAACGAAACAACGTAAAGCAACCCAAACTATTTCTCCAAATTAGGATTAAGATCAAACCTAACCTTGTTCATTTCACTCACAGTTAAAAAGCTCTTAAAAAAATATCACATTTTAATACATTTAACTTTCTATTACGTTAAAAACTCTAAAAAAATATTACATCAATTTAAATTAAAAACTCAAATTAAAAATTTAAACTTGTGAAAGAAATGAGGCCCTAAAGTTTCCAACTTTAACCCTAAAAGCGTCAATTTCAATCTAACCCACACTTCCATGAAGACGAAAAAGAAACCCCCAAAAAAAAGGAAAAAAAAAAAGTTCAATACCTTGAACTGGTTTGCTCTCCAATTCCGACATCCCCGACGAGCTCCCACCTTGAGACTCAACGGAACCCTGAGAAGTAGGTTGTCTGGTTTTCGCCATTAAATCAACTCCTCCACCACTAATCGGAGCTCTAAGAGAAGCGAAGCACTGTTGCCTATCCCTCTCTTCCTCTTCTCTCTCGGACTTGCCGGAGTTCCTCTGCTTCTCCGACCTCCGCCGCTTCGCCTCCATTCGCCGCAGAGTCTGCAACTCCTTCCGCTTCCTCCATTCCTCCTCGGTCTCCGTCGGCAGCGACGAGGTCCGGACCAGCGCCGGGTACGACACCGGCGGAACCAGAGCCGCCGAATCGTCGGAATCCCTAGCGATCAGCATGGTCCCGACTATGGAGGAAGATCGGGTTAGCTTGTTCTTCGTCTTGTCGACGCCGAATCTACCGCCCAAGGAGAGCCCTAGATTCAGCTCCACGTCCTCCGGATCCTCCTCTCCGCGAACCGCTGCGTTTTGGGAGGACTGCGGATTCGTACACATGAACCTCTGAAGCAGATCTCTCGGGTACTTCTCCAGAGACAAATTCTCCATTAATTGTCTGTTTCTTCCTTCATTAGCTTCGCCCATTTTCAAATCCAAAAAAAAAAAAACTACCTATATGTTAAAGAAGAAACCCCTCTACGATCTGCAAATGCCAAACTCGTCCATATCACAAAGATACTATTTTTTTCTCTTCCAATTCATCACATTAGTTAGTAATCTCCATGTGAATAATAAATTATAAAAGGTCTATAAATTTTCCCGGGAAAACACGTCGGAAAATCGCAGAGAAAGAAAGAAGGAAGAAGAAATGAAGAGAGTGATTTTTTTTATTATTATTATTTTTTGGGTTTGCGAGGGTGTAATGTGAAGAAAAAAGAATGGTACTTATTGTGTACCGAAAATGACCTTGGCGTATGGACAAGAAAAGTACCTGGATGAGACAAGTGGCTGTATATAAAAGAGAGCCATATCGACACGTGGTGATCTGACCACAAAAAAAATAAATTGTTGGAGTTTGCGCAGTGTGTGTCCTTTTTGGCGTCTCTACCAACAGCTTGTGTGCGTGGAGACACGTGTTGTGTTCGGAATGAAAAAAAGAGAAAGTATGTGACAGCCACGTGTCGTCCTTTTTTGGTTCCCTCCGAAACCGACACGTGGGATGGATGGCTTGGCCTCCTAGTTTTAAAGCTTAAAATTCAAAAAAGAAAAAAAATAATAATAAAGGACAGAGAGAGAGCCGCGCGGCGATGGGTGTTTTGGTTCGTTAGCTATATCATGCATTATTACTATTCGGCTCCCAAAAGTACTTGTTCAATTTTAATGTCAAGTAATATATCACGTTAGTTTTACAATTTGAGTCGCACCTTAAATTTTTTTGTTATAACATTTTTTTTAATAAAAATTTAAATTCAATCCTTTTTAATATACACTTCATTTAATCTTTATATTTTAATTCTATTACAATATTTTTTATTTTACAATAAATTTAATTTTAAAAATTTATTTTCTCATAAAATTCTCGTCAATAAATTAGAATTACTTATTTGAACAAATAAACTAAACGGGCTTATAATATCTTTTTACCTTAAATCACTTTTTAACCCAAATTCTCAACTCAAATTTATGAACAAATGGGGCTATAATTTTTGTGTTTTATATTTTTTTTTGTCTCTTTTATATTTTTTTTGTCTCTTTTATATTCATTCAATAATATCATAAACGTCAATTAAAATATTACATAATTTAAAAATTATTTCTTATAATATTTTAATTGATTTTGTATGATTTTGTCGGGTGATTTTATGTTTTGCTGTTGGTGGTAAAATTTGTTCAGATAATCTGAACGTGGCTCTCTTCTATGTTATCATTTGGGCATCGGTCAAAAGGTTAATCAGTGAGGTCGTTCTATTTACTATATTAGAATTTACAGGTGGTCAACGAACTAGGCGGAGAGTCAACGAGGAATTTAGCCGAAGGCGTATCGGCCATCGGCACGTGATGCACGTGGTTCAGGATTAGAAGTGGGGCACACGGGGAAAGACAAGTTGAACTTTTAAAAAAATTAATATCTCGTTTATTTTATCAATTTAAATTTTATTACAATAAAAAAATCTCATAAAAATCACATTTAATTTTTTTATTATAATAAAAAAATTTCATATAAAATGACATTTTAATTCAAATTAAAAATTTAAACACGAATCTAAAAATAAATAAAAAAATAAAAATAAAAACGAAATAAAAGAGAAAAGGACTCTAGAAGGGGTGTTGGGATGGTTGCCAGACGTCAGGTGCACAGAAAACTGTTGACGTGTCTAAAGTGGGTGCGGGGTCCCACCTCCACTTGATTACTATTATCAATCATCTGCCCTTTCTTGACTGTGACTCCTCTTTCTGTCCTTTTCCACCTCAACCCCATGTCCTTACGTCATACTTTGCAACATGTCAATTATAGAGTGAATATCTCTTATGTTTTTTTTTTTCTTTCTTTTTTTGATTGGATAGATAATTGCGAGAAATTCTCGTTATTTTGGAATTTCATAGAAAAATGTGAGAGGAAAATGTTTTTAGTTGGATAATATTGATGTCATATTTATTTTATCGATTTAAATTTTATTATAAGTAAAAAATTTTAAAAATAATCATATTTAATTTTTTTATTATAGTAAAAAATTTTCACATAAAATTATATCTCAACTCAAATTAAAAATTTAAATCAACGAACTAAACGGATCATTTAGAATTGAGAGTATATGATACGTGCAAGTATGGTTAGTGTTAAAAATATTTAAAGATTTTATTATTTATTAACTAATAAAAAATTATTTATTTTAAAAAGATTACATCTAAAGATAATTTTTAATATGATAAAAATTACACGAAAAATAATTAAAGAGAAACACGATAAGAATATTATTTATAGCATTGATAAAAAAAATAAAATAAAAATAAATGTAAAAAAATTACTTTTACATGAGTAAAATGAGAAAAAAAAATATACATATTAAAAAATCCACAACAGATTAAAATGTAAAAAAAAAAAGAAAAAAAAGAAAAAAAAGAAAAAAAAGGTCTTAAAAATAATAAATAGTGGTAAAAAGTACAAAATAAAAAAGAAAAAAAAAGGTAAAAGGTGGCCGGCCCATAGAAATGAGTTTTTGCTCTTTTATGATTGTTACATATATATGATTCGAGTTAAAAAATAAGATTTGAGTTGTAAAAAATTTGAGTTTAATTTAGAATTTAGAGTTTAGTGTTTAGGTGTTGACTGATTTAACATTTGAAACTTAAGTTTTGTGTTTACTTGTACAAATGTCAAACTCCAATTACAATCCAACATTAGCATGCATTTATGTTCTCTAAAATGTGAACATTCACCTAATTAGTACAAAATCATTTGTTCTTCATAAATATATATATATATATATATATACATATATAAATACAAACACTTTATAATCTATCCATTATTAAGGCAACAAACCCATTATAAAGAAACCATTGTAATAATCTATCGATGGCGATTATTTTTTAATGCAGCCCACATAATACTGTCTATTTCGTCCCTCAATATATTCATTTGTCGTCGTTGCGGACAGTTATGATGTTGTTAGGTTTCCCGAACCGGATTGTGATTCTAATTCACATCTTAATCCGCACTGAGTGGATCAATTTCTACAACCGGAATGGCGTCCTTCATGTACTGATTGCATATCTTAATACATATAACACAATTAAGGCCATTGGATCAAGCACCTCAAATTCATCAAAATACCAAATTAAGTCTCACTACACAAGTGCACATAGCTTAGAATTGCAAAACGACTTTTATAAAATGCCAAGAAATGGCCAAACACCGATTGTGCACATTGCTATTTACACACACTGGCTCCCTGTCACAATGAAAATGTTGGTAAAGCTAATATGAAACTTCAACCATGCATCTGTACAAATCACAGCCAGAATTGCAAAACGACATCCAAAAAAGGCCACCAAGAGACCAAACGACGATCGGGCACATTGCTCAGAAATGAAAAACGACATCCAAAAAAAGGGAAGCCACTTAAAACGACAATCATCACCGTTGCAAGAAGAAACATCAACATGCATGTCCAGAAGTAATGGAAGCTTAATAATCAGTATGGGAAAGGGCTTACCGTGTTTGATCCGGTAGAGGATAACGGTTAATCTGCTTCGACAACGGCCACACACCACTGTGATAGACGTCGTTGTGGATAAGGATACCGGCACCGATAATAGAAACCTCTCTTCCAGGGAGCACGCCTCAAAGGTGGGAGACGGTGTTTGGTGCTACATCGACTCAAGATGACAGCCAATGGAAGACGCTGGTCCACGCGCGTGGGATCGATTTCTCCCGTTTTGAATATCTGAGGGAGACGAACGACAACATAATCGGGATTCGCTAAATTTTGTGATATGGGATGGGTTTGAACGGGATGCAGCTGCCTGCCCACGACTTTGTTCACCGGGGATGGGTATTTGACTGTCGATAATGGAAGAATATGGACTGCTGTCAGGAACCCAAGAACGATCGTCGGCTGATTTCAGGGGAAACTCAAGGCTTTTTGCATAGCGGAAGCTTTCTCGTGAGAGAGGAAGCAGACCAATGGGAAGGAAGAAAAAAGACCAACGGGAAGGAAAGAAAAAAGACCAACGGGAAGAAAAAGGGATGCAGCTGCCTGCCTACGATTTTGTTCACCGGGGATGGGTATTTGACCGAAGGGTATGCACTGTTGCCAAGAATCCAAGAATGATGGTCAGTTGATTTGAGGGGAAACTTATGACTTTTTGCAGAGTGGAAGCTTTCTCGTGAGGGAGGAAGCAAACCAACGGGAAGAAAAAAAGACCAACGGAAAGAAAAATGTCAGAAAAAAGAATCCACACTATAGATATTAACTCGAGTAGTTGGAGTTCGAGGAATGGGTGATAAACACCTACTCGAATTATTACTCGAATTTCAAATTCGAGTTTTGGTTCCTGACACCTATTTCAGCCTAAAATCCAACTCGAGTTGGGCCTTTAGTTCATGAAGTGAACGGGCCCGTATATTAGTTGAACTCCACGTGTCCACATAATCATGTGTTAAGTTATAACAACTTTTTTTTCTTAAAATCATATAATATCTGAATATAAAATCTAAAAAAGGCATCCAAATGAAAAAAAAAAAAAATTTAGGGCAATAAGCCAAAAAAAAAAGGGATAATGTAGGAATAAAATGAAAAAATAAATAAGTTTTAAGGTAAAAGGAACCAAACGGAAAAAAATTTAAAATTTCATGGAAAATTAAAAAAAAAAAGACAAGAAAAGACCAAAAAAGAAATAAATAAGTTTTAAAGTAAAATGGACCAAAATGAAAAAATAAAGAGGCTTACCTCCTAATAACTAATAATTTAAACTTTAAAATAGAATATAACTACTAATCTAAATACTAGGATAAGCTAAATACAAACTAATTTAAATTTAAAGAAATCAATCATCCTTATCATGCTCCCGTAAGATGGAGTTCTGATAGGGAATTCACTCTTGAATTATGCTAGAATTAACATGAGTGATGGAGCGTAGGGTTGCAGCACAACAACAAACATCGAGAAGAGGATAGGAGAGAGGCATGGGCGCAAAGACGACAATCATCAAGAAAGAGAAGAGGGCATGGATGCAAGGGTGGAAATCATCAGGAGATATAAGGTGCATGAGTGCAGGGTTAGGAATTGGAGGCGCATTGCTTGGTGTTTTGAGGCACATTGATTTAGGGGCGGCAATTCGTGTTGGTGGGTCGTGTTCGTGTCATGTCAACCCCCTCAGTTGACACGAATAGGTCTGACACGAACACGACCCGTTTAT